AATCATCCCTTGAAAAACAGCATTCTGTGTCACTGACGAGTCTTATTGTTGCTACATAACCGCAATGACTGAAGCCGACCAAGTTTCATGACAAAGGTTCGGAGAGTTAATGTAAATGTATCCCTCAAGCAATTTTCAGCGCTCGCTTGTCTGACGCTGCCCTTGCTTCTCCCCCTGAAATCTGCTGCCGCTGCTGCTGCTGCCGTGTCCTGTTTTATCGCAATCGCACGTGCTACTTATTGCGGCGCGATCGTTCTCACGCCAGACGACACCAACCCTGAGGCGGAGAGTAAGGAGTACATTGACGTGAGTGGCTCTGCAGAAGAAATTACCCCATCTATTTAGCCTCTTAGGCACGTCGATATCCGCTACTGACTGGCTAGTTAAACCCATCCGTCGACGTGAGATTGTCTGGTGGTGCTCATATGGACTGGCTGCCCTCAAATTTACGTACCACACGTGGCAGTTGCCTCAGTTGTACTTGCAGTGTAAGTACCACGGGGTTGTACGCAGTCGGGCGTTTGCTAGCATCCCCTAGCATCCCAGTGTACGGCCAGAGTTGTTGTAGCTGTCATTATGCATTTTACATGGAGGAAACATTAGTTGGTAAGTGTGTGTGCGTATTGGTAGGTGTCCGTTGACTTGTTGGTGACGAAAACTACGAACAGTTGACGGAGGTTACGTAAACAGGATCGTAACACTCGAAGGAAGGTGCCTTAATCAAAGGAGCCTTGGTGATAAATCATTCCCCCGGCTTTGTGGTCAAAGTGCCTAAGAAGACCTTCCATGTGTGACTTCCAAGCGTGTTTTCCCCTGGTTTTGGCAATTCCAATGGCCTCTCTCTCCGTTCCTCCATGTGATGATCACCCTCAAGCCGAACTTAATGGGCGCTCTGGGCAGGGGAAATCAGTGGAGTTTTGTCCGTTTCCACCGCGCGCACGACGTTGGTGACCTTCAAATGTTTAATTTCCGACGAAGAACGAGGATATTGACATTCTAAACATGACCAAACATTCTTGCCAAAATTTCCAATTCCAGCGTTCGTGATTTTTTTTCTTTTTTTCATCGACCATTTACATCCCCTCTCTCTCCATGTGACGAAAACCCTTTAGCCGAACTTCATGGGCGCTACGGGCGGGGGAATGAAGTGGAGTTTTTCCGTTCCCACCGCCCGCTCCACGTTGGTGACCTTAGTACAGTCGACCCCGCTTTAAGGACGCACATGGTTTTTCCTGAAAAAATGTCCTGATACACCGTCCCCGGGGCCTATGGAGGCATGCTATACATTAAACTAGGCGTCTATTGCTAAGGAAGGAGGTGGTACGAAAAGTCAGCATCGCCGAGACGACTGGCAACCGTTTGTTGACGTCGAGCATATTAACAATACTTGACATGAGGTGTACAGCAGTCGGGGACGTGTTGAAAACAGCTTCAGTACACCAGTTTGTACTTGGCCAACTAATGTACTGCATAGCCGACAGCGGAAGGAGGAGGAAAGTCCAGGTAGACATATATTCATCTCATTGTTGTGAAACAATAAAAAAACGAGCGTATTTCAGCGTTTCACCGAGGAATATCGGTACATATCACTGTCCCGGCGGAGACCAAAAGTTACCCTGATGGCTTTTCCTTCCACATAATAGCGAAGAGTTCCCGTTACCTCCCCCCGCGGCTTGACTCTACGGCTCTGTTGAGTTTCATGAGTAAACGAATGAAGAGTCTTCGAAAGAATGTCGTTACCCCTTCCTTCGCGTACAAATACAGATAGCGCCCGCAGTTTGTAAGAAACAAGGCTCAACTTTGCACGAAAATGAGCAAAAAGGGCTAAGAAACATATCTCGATCCCGGCCACAACGTAAGAAACGTCCCGACAAGAAACGTGATGGTGCGATACCCCAATGACGTCAGAAATCTGCGGTGCTCCCAACCCCTTCCCATGCTCAACAGAATTGCATTTTGTTGTAGGGGGCAGAGTTACCCCCCCTCCGCGCCCCCGCGCCCCTGCTGTTCACAGTGAGTCTGTACTGTAATACTGCCACACATCGCGGACAACCATATGCTCTCCGCTGTTGCACGGGTTTGATGGCACTCTCCACCACCTCTCTTGCGGGCTTGATGATGTGGGTTGTCCTCAGAGATCAAAAGACTGAAAAAAGAAAGCACGAAGTACTTGTTGTAGTCTGAGGAACAAGGGAATCGGGAGGATGCGACAGTCCAAAGGAAGAAAAAATGCCATTTATGAAATGGACGACTTGGGCCGGTACTTCGACCCATTAGAAGGGATTGGTGAGGCTCGAAACGGTTTTGACGTTTCTTAACTGCGGGCGCTATCTGTAGGATCGAACGTCCTCCAAGCGAGAGGTAACCTCGTCCCTCAGTTAGGGACGAGGTTATGCACGACTCTTTTTTTGGCGGCATCCGATGGACCGCCGGTAGCTGGGAGGAATCTGTCCATACCAACACCCTGTTACAACTGCACCAGCAGAACGCTCGCTACTTCTGCTGTTTGTGCGTCGCTACTTCTGTACTCACTGTGGTGCGTGGTTCGTGCAACGAGCGGCCCGCAGGCCCGCAGGCCCGCAGGACACAAAAAAGGGGGATACGCGACAGGAAAAATGGGGGTAACCCATTATCGTATATGATGCCGGGCCCCCGGTGCTCAGCAAACAAGCTTCCTTTCAGCGGGGAGTTTCCTTAATGCGAGCGTCCTTGAAGCGGGGTTGACTGTATGTCTTAGTTTCCGATGGAAAGCATCGCACTGAAATAAAACTTCTGTTTTCCCGTTTCCACCGCCCGCTCGACGTTGGTGACCTCAATATGTTTTAATTTCCGATGGAGAGCATCGCACTGAAATATTTTTTTTGTTTTTTCCGCTACCGCACACTCTTGACATGCGGTGAAGGTAAGGAGGGCATCGCAGAACAAATCAAACCCCTACCATTGCCCCTCATCGATGCGTTCCCCGAACCAATAATCGTAGAGTGCCGGTAGTGCAATTACACCCCAAACGGCAACCTTTTCGTCGTTCGGCAGCGGCTTGTTGCATCCAGCCTGTTTGTTTGGAGGGGGGTATACAGCAGTATCATGCTCCCCCGGGGGGGCAAAACCTAGAGAGGAGAGATCTGTATGATGTACTCGATGGGGTTAGGGACGGGAGACGCACCTCGGAATCATCACGTACCTGTGCTATAATAGCACGGAAGCACCAGCAAAGAGGGATCTGGACTGTCGCTGTGGATGCAGTTTCGCCCCGAAGAAGTAGCGATACCCGGAATGATTTGTTATTGTGTCCTGACGGTGGCGGTGACCTCGCTGCATTTTCGGGTTTTGTTGTGGATAAATTGTGGGCACCACATGTCAGTATATAAGGCGTGGGGCACCTTATCTCGTGTCGGGCAAACACCCTTTTAACAATATATATTTTTTATCTGGTTTGTAGTATGCTTCATTTCTCCATGTGACGACCACCCTCAAGCCGAACTTTATGGGCGCTATGGGCGGAGAATTCCGCGGAGTTTTTCCGTTTCCTCCGCCCGCCCGACGTTGGTGACCTTAATATGTTTTAATTTCTGATGGAGAGTTTCACACTGGAATTGTGTTGTTGCAAGTTGACCGTTACCCGCACGCTGTTGACGTGCGTTGAAGTGAAGGAGGGGGCATTGCAGAAAAACATCAAATCCTCATTGTTTGCTCCCCATGTATGCATATGTGTTCCCCAAATCCAAAAAAAAAATAGTAAAAATAATAAACACCTCAAACGGAAGCTGTTGTCTTTCGGCAGTATTCGGCTTGTAGAATGCAGCCTGTATTTTTGTTCTTGATCGCAGTTCGCTTCATCTTTCCATGTGACGACAACCCTCAAGCCGAACTTTATGGGCGCTATGGGCGGGGAATTCCGCGGAGTTTTTCCGTTTCCTCCGCCCGCTCGACGTTGGTGACCTTAATATGTTTTAATTTCCGATGGAGAATGAGGGTGTGAGACGACGCCCAATCTACGTGGCGATCGCGTGTGCAAGTTGCCTGGCCGACGCGACAACATAGTCTGCGTTTTGTGTTACAGGATCACGATGAAACAATGTTATTGTGTACTAGGAGCAGTTAGCACGGTTGTGATTCCCAAGCATGTCATCACCTCACCCGTTGATTGGTTCTCACCACTTGAATGTCCTACCGGTACCTTCATCCACATACTTCAACCTTTGTCTTGTCTTTTGTGTTTTGGGGTCTTTATCCAGCCTCAAAAACATGGTTGCCTCCAGAGCATTTTACGAAAAATGAACACACAAGGAAGCTTTTCATAACGTCATGGTGTACGGACACTCCCCTCCCCTGCGTAGTCGCTTCGTTGTACACAACAGGTGAAACTTTGTGCCACCCCAGGGTAACTTGACAACGAAAAATATCATTGCACCATGTTCTTACGAAACATGTTGTCATTTACTCCTCGAATTGCAGCGTTCGTGACTTTGATGTTGTTGCGTCGAACGTTACGCGACCCCTTCAACTCCTCTCTCTCCATGTGACGAAAACCCTCAAGCCGAATTTTATGGGCGCTATGGGCGGGGGAATTCAGCGGAGTTTTTCCGTTTCCACCGCCCGCTCGACGTTGGTGACCTTAATATGTTTTAATTTCCGATGGAGAACGGATGGATATGTCCCCCTTAAACCTCAATACTACTCTATGCTGTAAAACTCTCCTTCATTATGACATTTTTATTTTTTTTGTCGGAATGCACGGCGCCAATGACGTGGTGGAAATATGCCTCTTCTCTTCGTTCAGCCTATTTTTCTGCTGAGAACATGGGAGGTCGACGGCGCCAAGCCTATCTTAGATTTGCGCATTTTAGTCTTCACTCCAAATATTTTCGAAACCATGAAAGCACCCAACAAATGTGGTACGTGACTGATGTTGGTGTCACGAAAGGAGCGTGCCCTGTAAGAATGAGTGACAAACAAGTGTTCTTGCTGCTAAAACGATGCCGTATGCTGTCATCAGTCCATTCGGGAGGACCTGGAGTGGATGGGGTGGAAGCCAGTGGAGACCACGTACTCGTCAGACTCGTTCCAGCTGCTGTATGACATGGCCGTCAAGCTCATCGAGGTACGCACGAGAGTGCAAACAACGAGTGGTGTGTGTGTACAGGACGTGTGCTGCTGGTCTCTCAATTGGGTTGGTTTTTGTGGTTCCTTTCGCTGGTGGATTAGCCGCGTGCTTTTCGTGTCGAGTACTACAGAGTTTTGATGAAAAGATGCGAGGTGAAGCAGACTGCCGCGAATCGGCGTGAAATCACCCTTCTTTCGGCAAAGTTAGTCTGGTGGTCGCTCGTGAGACTGAGTCAATTGTTTGCATCGATGTGTGTAGTACACGATGTCTACGACCACGACGGTCGAAGTCAATGAGTGACAACGGTGGAAGGTTAGAGCAAGTTTTTGGTTTGTCATGTATCCGTACAGGAGTCATGAACTCGAGCATTGTTCGGAAGCGATGGGGGCATATCTGTGAAAAACCTCGTGTTCCAGATGCTGTTTTTGCTCTCCTGTATCGCGTATCTTTGTTGCTCATGCTTACATAAGATGAACTTTTCAAACACTCTATTTTTTCTCGCGCCGCGTGCTTTTTACTACGCGATTTACTAGGCAGCGTAAGTTGCTTAGGCTTTCCCCTCGCTGCAAGTCTGATTCCCCGTTGCATGACTCTCTGGTGCGTTGATTTTTTTCTTCTCTTTTTCGGCGTTTTATTTTTTTTGGCCGGTGTTATTGTGCTTCCACGTGCTTGATTTGTCTGGTAGTCCTTGCACTAAATGATTTTCTGCCCTCTTGTTTTGTGTCCTTCCATCAACTTTAGTTTTGTCGTCTTTTATGATCTGTTACCTGGTCTAATTGGGTTTGTGCAGGGGGGGAAAGCGTACGTCTGCCACCAGACCAAGGACGACATCTTCAAGTGCCGGGAGATCGCCAAGGTCAACGCCGCGGACCCCAACGCCAACGCCGGCGACCCGTGCAGCCCCTGGAGAAACAGGCCTGTGCAGGTACGTAGGAAACCCTTACCTTTGAAGCATGTGAAAAAAGCACGAGCCCGGTTCTCTTGACCCTTTTAAGCAAGTTGTTGTTGTTGTCGTTGTTGTTGTCTTGACATTAAAATCCATTCCGTTCTTTCTAACTCAGCCTCTGAAGTAATGTCTTCGTGAGGTGTGTATTTTTTTTGTTTTGTTGTCAGTCATTGGGACCAATGTCAAGGACGGTCTGAAGTAGATGCCAGCACCGCCTCGGTTAGTGGGAGCAAATAAGAAAGCAGTGCGGTTGCTTCACTGTTCAGGGACGTGAGGTATCATGTTTGGGCGTGGGGTTTGGACGCGAGGAAGAATCCGCGAAGGGTTTGGCGGCGGGTAAATTTACCAGGCCTGTGATACGTGCCACGAAGTGTGCGAAGTTCAAGCTGAGCTTACTCGTCCTCCACCCTGGCCAAGGGTTCTGGGTTGACGCCGACCGAACGCACGCCATTGTCCGCCCGAAAGACGTGTTCGCAAAAGCCCCCTTTTTCGGGGGACTTGTCGACCCTGCATCCACACCGCTCGGCGTGTTATGTGCCGCTTTTTTTTGTGCTCTTCTAAGACACTCTCGAGCTGTGTGCTTTGTGGTGGCCTGGTTGCTGTGGGCGCGTGCGACGTGACTTTGTTTTACCCGAGGCCGTGCAGATTGGAACAGAAACATTCGCCTGGTAACTCCTCCTCCTGGGAGTTTGTACAACAGTCTCTCTTGGTCAATTGGAAACCGCTGTCCCTGGAGTTGGCGTATGGCCGTCTTGGTATGGCTCATGCTGCCCTGCTTGTGGCAAGGAGATTGATTGGCCTATGTAGTTTAGCAAAACGTGGAAGAAAGTGCACCAGGATGTTCTACTGTCCCCGCGACCTGAGTGCTGTGAGTGACGCCACAGCAACAGCAACCTCCAGGATAGTATACTTGGACTATACCGGTAACGGTGGAAACACGGAAATGGTTCATCAGACACCAGATGGTGGTCTTGTGTGGGGTCGAGAATTAAGCGCACCTCAAAAAGGATGAGGCATTCTGCTGTACTTTTCAACTCGGCCACGAAAAATGTCTCTGTACGACGAAGACTTTCTGAGTTTTGTCATTGGCGTGCGGTGGTAACTGATGCTCTGCCGCTTTCCCCACAGAGCATCCCGCTCCACTTTGTTTCGGGAAAAAGTAGAGTGTGGAATGGGATTTTTCTGTGAGGGACGCGTCGGAGCTCCCGGCACTACCGAACGTCAAGGACGACGCACGGAGTCTCCATCATGCAGTGTGCGTCGTGCGTCAAGCAGGAAGACACTGGCGGTCGCATGAGCAAGTTGGTTGATGCCTCTGTACGACATGCCTCTTGCCGGCCAGATGCGTCATCGACCTGACACAAGACCATACATATATATTTATTTTTCTTAACCATTCCTACTTTCCAAACCACCTCCACGGGTGCTGTCCGGAATGTTGTTGCTGACGCGTCACTCACAGCGGAGAACTCAATAGTACTATTGTGCCACGCTTCTCCACCTCGCTAAGGCTCAACACAACAGGTCAATCGATATCCTCGCTAGAAAAGGCCGCACAAGGCTTAAAGCACTCGCATACCTACTCCAGGCACAGCGGCTCCCAATTGACCTCAAAATACTGCTGTACACACTCCGGGGAAGAAAGCGTACCCAGCGTATGTGTCTGTCCCCATCTGCAGGGCCTCCTGTAGCAGCTTTTTGGTGGTGGGGAGGGAGTTGGGCAAGCTATCCTATTCTCCCGCAACCAAGAGAGAGTCTGAGTGCAAGCTTGGGCGACCGTGGGGGGGATTATTACTTGTTTGTTTGTGAGAGGAAGGAGTTACGGTCCGATTTCCCCCGCCCTCCCCCCCCCCCCCCCCCCCCCCCCCCCCCCCCCCCCCCCCCC